GGGGGGGTCGGACAGCACGGGGAGTAGGAGAGGCCTGTCAGGTGGCGGTGGCTGGCCCTGGGGGTGGGGGCAGAGGCTTGTAGCCAACCCGCTAGGTTGGAGCCAGCAGGAGCCATCCTGGGGAGAGCAGGAGTCATCTCATGGGCTCCCCGTGCCCAGGTTCTGCCTGCTCAGGATGACGCAGGTGGGATGCGTTGCCCCCTTCGGGGCTGTGAGGGGAGCAGAAGCAGGGGAAGAGTGCAGGGAGCTGGGGATTGGAGCTGGTATGCAGGCAGGACTGGCACTGGGAGGGAGAGCCCATGCTGTCCCTGTCCCGTGCATTAGTGCTGGCAGTGCCCCCCACTGTGGCTCACCTGGTGCACTGCCCTCACCTCAACCCCACTCCCCTTCTGGCCTGGCTGCCCTGCAGGAAGCGGGATGGACACTCAGTACTGAGGACGCTGTAGCCCTGCCCTGGGGTTTCCCCTGCTTCCTTCTCATGGCTCACCCTATCCCTGCCCTGTCACTGAGTGCTGTCCTGGATGGGCTGGCGCGTGCCCGTGGACTGACATGTTGCTGGGACCCCTCTGCACCCGCAGTGCGAGAACCTGGTGAAGTCGAGCGAAGCCAACACACCTGCGCATGAGGAGTTCGAAAACATACTGCTGGTCTGCCACTACTATGCCACCCGCTCCGCTGCCCAGGCTGTGAAGCAGCTGGTAAGGCCTTGGTTGCCCTGCGTGGCAAGGAGGTGCTTTAGCCAAACACAGCATCTTGGCCCTGGCGTGGGGGTACCTGGGTGCAGCTGGACGGGATGAGCTGGCAGCCTTTTAGCTGTAGACTGTGCCCAGGCTCCAGGTAGGGTCTGGATGGGGCTGTGAGGGGCAGTGGGCACCAGGGTCCAGGTGCCAGAGCACAGACAGCTCTACCAGCTCCCGCAGGCACTGACTGCTCACGGGTTTTGGCCTCTGGGCACCAGCTGCCCACAGTTCTCATGACTTCACCACCCTCAGGACATTGTGGCTGCCAAGCTGTCGATTTCCCTGCTGCGTCACACCGAGCTCATCCCTGCAGACAAAGCCTTCTACGAAGCCGGCACTGCAGCCAAGGTGAGCGTCAGACCTGGTGTCCCCACGGGGCTGCTAGGGGCCTGGGCTGGAAGGGGCAAGGCCAAGTGCCCACCATGCTGGGACCCAGCACTGGGTGCAGCCTGGCAGCACAGGGTAACGGTCACTGGGGACCTGGTGCCTGCTGGGCAGTAGTGCTGGCAGCACCCTGGCACTGCACAGGCCCCATCCCTGCATCGCCTAGCAGGGACGGGGCACTGCCTGCCCGCTGCCCCCCGGTGCTTGGTGCATGTCCCAGCTGGAGCTCTGGCACTGGGGCTGCCTCCCAGGCTCTGGAGGAGAGCCAGCTTGCCCCCTCCGCACCATGTGCTCCCCCCTGTGCCATACGTTCACACCCGCCCCTGTGCTCTGCATCAGGCCATCGGCTGGGAGAACATGGCCTTTGTCTTCCTGAACCGGTTTCTGGACATCTGTGATGTAAGTGGGGTTGGGGTAGGTGGGGGAGCTGTACTGGCTGGGGAGCCCCGGGCTGGCCCAGGGAGGTGCTGCTCACACTGCCCAGGGGCTGGGGTGAAATGAGAACAGGGCTATCTCCCACTCCATCCATGGTTGTGCAGGGAGCTGCAGGGACGTCTCTCGGGCTGCTCGCCCCAGGGGACAAGTTCCACCAGTCCCTGGCCCCAGGTTTTGGCACTCCTATGTGGGATGGCAGTGTCCCAGTGCAGCGCAGCCTGGAGCTGGGAGCACTTGTCCTGCCAAGCTGCTTCTTCCGGGTTGTGGGGGGGGGGCTGCTTCGAGTCTTGGACAGGACACAGTGCATGGAGGATGAGACTGGAGGAGGAATGACGGGCTGGGGCCATGAGGGACTGCCCAGCACCAGCTCCAGGGAGAGGTGGTGCTGCTCTAGGGTCCAGCCCCCCCATGCTGTGTCCATGGAGGGAGACTGTGGGACATGCTGTGGGCTCTGCTCTGGGGTCAGTGAGGGATCCTGAGTCTGGACAGGGTCTGTGCCGTACAGGGCACCCCCAGGCCTGGCACAAGCACAGCACAGGCAGTGGAGTCATCCCGGGTGCCTAGGAGCCCCAACCCCTACAGCTGATCGGGCTGCACATTGCTCCTGGGCCCCCCCACAGAAGAACCACCCAGCCCAGCCACGGGCCCCATGAGCACCTGCAGGGTCAGCCCCTTGGCACAGTCTCTTTGCCTCCAGGCCATCGAGGAGGGGACACTGGACGCCCTGGACCACTCCGACTTCCAGGACACAGACATCCCCTTCGAGGTGCCGCTCCCGGCCCAGCAGCATGTGGCGGTGAGTGTCACTCAGGGAGGAACAAGGCTGGCAGGGAGCTCCAGAGGTCACGTGGCCTGAGGCAGGATCAGTCTCGCCTAAGACAGTCCAGACAAACCCCGTGTCTGACCTCAGGGCCACATGACACAGTCGCCCCTGACACAGCCCCTGACATCGTCTCCATTCCTGCCCCCAGCAGGGGCCACGGCTGCCAATATCTTTCTGCCAGGGGGGTTGTGGGCACTGCAGAGACCCCCAGGCCCAGGCCATGCCCCTGCTGCTGAGGAAAGGAAAACCCCCCATTGTGGACCAGTCTAAGCAGGGGGAAATCCCTTCCCGCCCCAGTGCAGCATCAGGCTGAGCCTGAGCACAGGGGAAGGTCCTCCAGCCAGGACTGTGCCGGGTTGGTGCCAGCAGGAGCAACAGCACAGCCCAGTCCCTATCCCCAGCCTGGGCTGCAGCAGCAGCCAGCGCCTTCGAGGGAGGCTTAAAAAGCCCGACACGTGGAGCAGAAAGCCAGGGGCGGGGCAACCAGAAGCGCCCAGAGGCCTGGGACACCCCC